CTCCCACCCCCACCCACCCGCAGACGAGAGGGGACAGTGGCCCCGTGTACGTAAAGTGTTCATTGCACAGATTGCTACCCACCCGGCAGCATGCCTCGTGGCTGTGGGTTAAAATGTGAAGGCCGAGTGACCGGCTTAAGGAAAAACCTACTAATGTACCCCAAAATGCAGACATCCCTTCCAGAGGCACCCGATAGGTGCTTCGGTGCCCAAGACTAGCACCTACTGTGTGCTGGGCGCTGCCGAGGTCAGCAAGGTTCAATACTGAACTCTTAGGCTAAGCTACTCCTGTGGAGACGCGCTGGCTGCAGCTCGGATGCGTGTGTCCGTTACCAAAAAAGGGTGTAAAACATCTCACCAGTAATGTTGATATTTATTGCATGTTGAAGTGGTAGTGCTCTCTGATATACTGCAATGAATATTCGTTTCACTTGTGTCTTTTTAGAATGTGAGTGCCAAAAGAATGGCGATGCTTCGTGTGGCTCGCATTATGTCGCTATGGGACCAGCTGATACAAGCGGGTGATCTTTCCACGGGCACTGCGAGGTCTGTGCAGTCATTGCCCCCCACCCCTGTCTATTAAAAGGAACAGAAAAAACCTCCAGCGACTGAACAGCTAAGACGTGAACAACTGAGATTTGAACCCGGGTGTTCTGGCTGTGAAGCTGGGCTGCTCATCGCGCCTGCGCGCCCATGTTGATCCTATAGTTGCTGTAAACTCACCTACTAGTAAGCGTGGACTGTTCATGGGTAAAATGAGGAGCTAGAATGCTCTTGGCAGACTTCCCTAAAAGTAATGTTTCTTATATGGCAAGCACTGTGGGCCGTAGACCTCCCCAGTAACACATGGAAAGGCTTTGGGGAGATCATCCTTTATGGGAAAGGAAGGCATCCAGGGTGGGGATGGCCACGGCCCCTGGCAGTGGGAATGTGTGGGCAGGTTCACTTCCAGCCCCTCCTGCTGTCCTCTGAGTTGGTCAAAACTAGCTGGACTTCATCAGCTGGTTTGTCTGATTTTCATCAAATTTTTTTTTAAATTAAGTATTTTTTTAAAAATTAAGTATTTATATGGTTCATCCATCAGAAAGCATAAGAAGATATACAGTTTAAAGAATCTCTCCCCCACACCTGTCTCCATACCCAAACACATAACCACTATTTTTTGCTCATTCTTCTAGGTAATCTTTTTATGCCTATAGAAGCCAAGACATCCCCCAATTTACAAAAGTTTACAAAAGTAGTTGCATGCCACACCCAAGTATTACATTTTGCTTTTTATTACTTAATGTATCAAAAATATGTAGACAGCAGTATATACAGTGCTCCTCATTAATTTTTTTCAATGCCCATATCATTTTATTGTAGGAATATGCCATAATTTATTTAACCAATACTCTGTTGATGGCCACTTAGACTTCCAGTCTTTTGTAATTAAACATCAGTCCATTTGGAACTGACTCGGTATATGGGGTGAGGTATGGATCCAAATTAATATTTCTTCCAGACGCTACACAGCGTGCCATTATTGCCCGTGTGCTGAAGTGTTCCCTTCTAGACTCTTTTGTCCCAGTGGTGTGTCTATTCATCTTCCAGTTGCTCGTGCTTTAAATCTGGAGAAGAAATCTTATAAGGGTTAGTGTTTCATACTTGGCTGAGATCACTAAAGAGCTTAGCGCTAATATTCCAGCCCATATTAAACAGTACAGTACCATGTGGGAAGCATTTTCTGTGGCTTAATTTTTATTTCCTCCTTGCCCTGACTATATTTCAGTTTGTTTTGGTTTTTTTATAGAACAAGGCAGGGTATAAATACACCTTTGTTTAAGCCCTAACCGGTGTGGCTCACTGGATAGAGCGTTGGCCTGTGGACCGAAGGGTCCCAAGTTCAATTATGGTCAAGGGCATGTGCCTGTTGCAGGCTCCTCCCCGGCCCAGGCCCTAGTCTGGGCATGTACAGGAGGCAACCAGTCAATGTGTTTCTTTCACATCAATGTTTCTCTCTGTCTTTCCCTCTCTCTTCCACACTCTCTCTCTAAAAGATCAATGGAAAAATATCCTCGGGTGAGAATTAAAAAAAAAAAAAAGATTCTCTGTTTGTAACAGAAACCAACCTGAAGTAGCTTAATGGAAAGGGAAGAATTTATCATTAGGATGTCAGTTTCTCACAAAGCCAGGACCAGGAATACAGCTACATCTTAGCCAAGGACTAGGACCAGGGTTAGGAAGTGCCCAGAAACCCAAAAGATACTCCTTATGTCCTTCTGTGATTTTTCCTCCTGTGTGTCTGCTTCATCTGTCTCTCTCTCTCTACTAATTTGTTCTCTCCGCTTCTCTGTCTACACAGGATAATACAGCCACGCCCATATTCAGCTAGGAAGTCGGGCTAGTATGGGGGTCAGACCCCAAACAAGGAAGCAGGGCGGCCTCCAAAGCCAGGCGGCGGATTGCGTGGAGGGGCCACACAGAGAAAAACCACATCGAGGAAAACGGGAGCCAGGGGTCTCACTGCCGAGAAGGGGCTGCAAGCCCAGTAACGCGAAGAACAAGAAGGCTGTGTGGCTGGACTGGAAGCAGAGGTATTGATGTGAACTCAAGCTTTGCAGTGTATGTAGCTAAAACGATAAATGTAAATGTGTTTGAAGTGCCATAGAGATGAGCCTGGAGCAACTTACTGTGTCAGAAAGTGTGAAATGCACAAGGAATGATGGAGACATCTCAAGAAGACAAAGCAGTCATCTTGAAGGGGCCATGTCTGGGGCAATTTGAGCATCAAAATAAATTATAGAATGAGGAGATGGCCCATGTAATAAAGTGTAACCCACGAGCCCACACGGATATTTTTTTATTGAATAAATAAATGGGGAGAAGAGATAGCTCATACATACAGTAGAATGCAGCCAAGAAATAATGGAATTAAAAATCACTATTTGGCAATCATCAGATAAGAAATATCAATGTATGCTATATCCAGTGGATAAAAGTTGGACAATCAATGAACTATTTACTTAGGTCCAAAGCATCTCCCCATAAAATCCTTCTTTCAAAAATGAGAACTTTATAAAAGAGAATCTATCCGACACCACCTTATTCAAGTATACAAAGCTAACTGTCACCCAAGGGGTCACAGACACACCGCTAAGGACACATGGTGCAGCTATAACCTGGGGTTCAGCGGGGGAAACATATGCAGAGAAGTGGCAGAGTGCACGCTGTCCCCAGCATTCATTATCACTCAGCATAGGCCAAGTGTAGCTATTGTGTGAGCACCATGGCCAGGGGCCAGCAAGACAAGGCCTGCCTCGGCCAGCAGCCGGTGTACCACGGACAGGGACAGAGCAGAGCCCTACAGAAGTGGGCACCACCCCACTGGCGCTGCATGTCTCTATGTTGACCAATGGGGTTAGGGAACTCCTGGTGTCTCTAAATAATGAGAAATAGATCCAGGGCCCCCAGGTACAGTGCTGGGAAGTCGGCGTTCCCAGGGCAGAGGGCAGCTCGGAGGCCTTGGCCCACCAGGATCCTTGACTGGCCAAGGATTTGTCTCTCCACCGACCTGCTCAGTCCTGCTTGGGAGGCTGTGAGCTCTGCTGTGAGGAGCGGGAAGATAACCTTCAGGGCCATCCAGACTTGCCTCTGCTCAGTAAGGTCCCCAGTGACCGAACACATCAGCATCAGGGGCGACAGAACCACTTCTGTAGTATTTCTGCCAAAAATGCGTGTCTGACATATTAGGGGAAATGTCACACGAACCCCCAAAAGAGGGCTGGTCCACAAGATGACGGGCCTGTAATCTTCAAAAACTTGAAGGTGATGAAAGTCAAAGGAAGACTGAAAATACAGCTTTGGGACGAAGGAGGCGAAAGGCATGTGACCAGTAAGTACGTGTGACCCTGGCTTGGAGCTTGTCATCCTAAAGGCTTTATTGGCGTAACTGGTGAAAAGTGAACGGAGGTTGGGAGTTTTTGTGCCTGTATATTAGGCTTCTCCAGAGAAACAATAGCCTATATCTGAATACAAACAAGAGGAGTTGGATGATAGGAATTGACTCAGGGCGGTGTGGAGACCGAAACGCCGCACACTCTGCCGCCTGCACCCTAAAGAGCCAGGAAAGTCGGGGGCAGCATTCAGTCTGCGTCCAAATGCCCGAGAAGCAGGGGAGACGATGGTGCAGCTCTCAGTCTGAGGTCAAGGCCCGAGAATCAGGGGCCCATGTGTGTGGGTCCCGGAGTCTGAAGGCCCACGAACCAGGAGCTCCATCTGCTGTCTGAGCGAAGGAGAAGATGGACAGCCCAGCTCGAAAGAAGAGAGAATTATAAAAAAAAAAAAAGAAGAGAGAATTGCTCTTCCTTTGGCTCTGTTCCATTCACGCCGTTACGGGATTGGACACCTGTCCAGCAGGAGAGAAGGTCACATCATAGGAAGGGGGCTGGATGGCTGCTATGGTGGCAGACCATATGGATGGCTGTCGGGCCGCAGAAGAAGGAGCGCCTGACGGTGCACGGGGTCCAGGAATTTCTTCCTGAGGAAGAACTTAACAAGCTGAGACCTGAAGTAATAGTCGCCAGAGGGAGTGGGGGATGTTCCGGGAGAAGGAACAGCAAGTCCGAGCCCACAGGTAAGGAGGTGTGGCTCATTCACAGAACTGAAAGGAGCCCAGTGTGGACCCAACCACAGAGCAGGAGAGGAAAGACAGGGAAGGGCAGAGAACAGAAAGCACTTGTGTGTCCTGTTCAGGATTTACTCTTTCATCTCAGCAGTGGGGAGGCCATAGGAAGGTTCATGAGCACAAGGTGACGTGGCCAATGTTATGCCCAGATTTCAAGATCCCCAAAAGACCACCAGGGAGCCAGCCGAGTCCGATGCAAAAGCAAAGAGTCTTTATTCGAGCTAGCTCGGCTCCCCGACCACACTCACCGACGCAGCGGCAAGCAGCAGAGAGAAGAGCTAGCCCTGTGCGAAGAGGGGTTTTATAGGGGGGTGGAGTAAGGGGAGGAGAGAGGACTGTGGGCCCTGCCGATTGGCCGGGCACAAGTAGGTGTCTTGTTACACAGGATGTGGTCATATCTATGGCATGCACTTTCCTTGATTGTCATTGGTTAGTTTAAAGACCAGATGCACCTTTTTAAAAGTTAACTCGAGCCTGTGTAGCAAGTGGGGAAGAGTAGCATCAAGTGTCCATTTGCAATCGTGCAATCTGATGAGAATGGCCTGATGGAGAGCGGTGCCCCTGAATTAGAGGTATCCAGGAGATAAAAATGTGACTGTTTCAACTCTCCCCTTTTCTAGCTGTGGCTTCAAGGCCACCAAAACTCTATTTCCAGAAAGTAGCGGGTGCAGTGAGCAGAGCACTGCTGGGTCTGGGAGCTTCCTGAGCTGACCAGGTCCGTGTCCGCTGTGATCCTGTGAGGGCCATACTGCTGTTGTCAGTGTGCTTTGTAGCAAAATAATTAACACAGAGATGCGTGAATCTTCATCTTGTCAAGTAGAATTAGACTAAAACGGGGGAAAATATGCACCAGCCAGGCATACTCAGTGCGTTTTCCACTGTCCTGGATCACATCAGGCCCCTCTTGACTTGAGGAGTGAAATGATCTCAGTGCTTCTTGGCATCTCTTTGGGGGCGACTTGGAATCCCACCGTGTTTGTGGCCAGCACATCAGTACTGAACCCTGAGGCGTGTTTCCCTGAGAGCTAAAGACCCCGCCTGCAGGCTGCGAGGCACTTCCCAGGGAAAGCCACCCGAAACCGCCTTCTGCTCGCCCACGCCCTGAGCAGCTCACCTATAGTTTCAGTGCCTTTTCACTCCCACAGCGAAAAGACAACAACAGAAAGATGGCCATGTGGTAACCAGATCAGCGATACAAGATGTGGCTGATAGTCCCCCTCAATTAGAATAGAAACAATTTTCCCATATCTTAGGATCAGCTTTTTTTTCATTTCATTTTTATTTCAAAGAAATGCTGTCATCTTAATTTACATTGAATTGTTACTCAGTAAACAATAATTGAGCAGCATTCGTACTTCTGCAAGACAAATGCCTACAGAAGCTTGGAATTAAAAATCAGGTTTGCCCATATTTTAAAAAAAAACAAAACAACAAAAAACAGTTTGGAGATCTTAAGCCAGCCAAAGGAATGACATTTCAATTTTTCATTTTTATTTTTTATTATTATTTCATTAGCTCTTTTTTCTTTGTTCTCCTTTTTTGTTTTTTGCTTTATTTTCTACTTCTTTTCACATTATTTTTTCATCATTAAATTTTATTTTATTTTTACTTATTTTCTATTTTTATACCATTTTTTTAAAATCAATTTTTTTGTAAATATATTATTTTGTTCCCTTTCTGTCTCTTCTTATTCATTCATCCCTTTCCTACCTCCGCTATACTAAAGTGAGGTCCTCCCCACATTTATCCAATTCTTAACCTTATTTCCTGTATATCAATCAGCTCAGCCTCTACAGATTCTGCCCCTACCCTCTTTACTGGATGTTTGGTATTTGTATTTGTTTGGTTTATCTATTGGTTCTGTGGTGTTTTCTCCTTTTTCTTTTCTCTCCTATCTTTTTTTCCCTCTTTTCTCCTCTCTCTTTCTCTCTCTATCTTTCTCTCTCTCTCTCTCTCTCAAAATCAATCAATAAAACTGCCTTTATAAGGTGCCAGAGGCCAGAGCACATGACCAGGGTCCCACCCTGATGTGAAATAGGGCCGCAAGGGCGTGACCTGCTCAGTTGCAAATCAAAAGGCTTGAAAAATTAGGTCCAGCCCGGCCGGTGTGGCTCAGGGGCTGAGCGTTGACCTCGGAACCAGGAGGTCACAGTTCAATTCCTGATCAGGGCACAGGCCCGGGCTGCGGGCTCCATCATTGATGCTTCTCCTGCCCTCCCTCCCTCTCTGAGATCAATAAAAGTGTGTGTGTGTATATATATATAATTTAAATAAACCACAAAAG